ATATATATATATATATATATATATATATATATATATATATATATATATATATATATATATATATATATATATATATATATATATATATATATATATATATATATACCTATAAAACCGTATATATCACTATATAACTATATATAATCAAAACACTATATAACTATATATAAATCTATATAACCGTAAATATCACTATATAACTATATATAATCTATATATTCTATCTACATAAATGACCTCTGCAATGTTTCGCCCTCAACCAAATGCGTACTGTTCGCAGACGACACCAACCTTCTTTTTACTTCCAACAACCTACCAGATTGCTCTGAACATATCAATCTTGAAATCCAAAAATACTCTAACTGGTTATCCAATAACAAACTAATCATAAATTATTCGAAATGTGCATACATTATTTTTGGCCCAAAAATACTCACCAACCAAGCTCCTAACTTAAACATATTACACCAACACCGACCACCAACCTTCTTTTTACTTCCAACAACCTACCAGATTGCTCTGAACATATCAATCTTGAACTCCAAAAATACTCTAACTGGTTATCCAATAACAAACTAATCATAAATTATTCGAAATGTGCATACATTATTTTTGGCCCAAAAATACTCACCAACCAAGCTCCTAACTTAAACATATTAGTTAATGGTGTTCCTATAAGCCGCACCAAATTTCTTTGAATCACCATCACAGAAAATCTTTCATGGAATTCTCACTTACAAACTACCTCAGACAAAATTAACAAACTCACAGGCATCTTCTACAAAATCAAATATAAACTCTCTCTTTCTTTATTACACATTAATCTACCCTTATCTAACCTACTGCATCACACTATGGGGAAATAGTCCAAAAAGCCACCTGAATAACCTAATACTCTTCCAAAAAAGATCAATACGTTTAATTTTTAACCTCAAACCCGATTCTCATACTAAAACCTTCTTCGTAGCAAAAAAAATTTTACCACTTTACTTCATCTGTCTTTACTACTCTGCTTTATTCATTTTTAAATTTATCAACAATCTTCTCCCACCTCACTTTATCAACTTCTACACATTAAGTAACTCTCTTCTATATCTACAAAACTCGCCTCAAATTAATCCAGACAAGCATAAAAATATCAGGTCCTAAAATTTGAACAGAACTTGTACCTCCCCATCTAAGAGCCATCGTAAACCTACAACATTTCAAGTCAAAATTCCGTGCTTTTTTATTGACACTGGATCTCGACTCCACCATCTAATATTATATTAAGAATACGTTAGAACGAATGATGCGGATGAATGGTCTTTATGAATGGTTAAACATTTATGTGTTTATATACGTACTGAGCGAACATTTACATAGTTATAGGTCTATATATGTATGACACGAACATTTACTTATTTATCTTCAATTATCTTTCTGCTTCAGTTATTTTCCTTATATTATTTCATTAACTATTCATGTATCTACCTGCGGTGGCCACCACAAGACAAACAGTCTTATTGGTTTCCGCATATTCAACTTCAAAACTTTTATTCACTAACTTGATATGTTGTTGATTATGAATAAAACTTTGAAATGAAATGAAATAATCAATAACACTATATAACTATATATAAATCAATATAACCGTATATATCACTATATGACTATATATATTCAATAACTCTACATAACTATATTTAAATCTATATAACCGTATAGAACACTACATGACTATATATAATCAATAACTCTACATAACTTTATATAAATCTATATAACCGTATATATCACTTTAGAACTATATATAATCACTAACTCTACATAATTATATATAAATCTATATAACCGTATATTTCACTATATAACTATATATATATAATCAATAACTCTACATATCTATATATAAATCTATATTTATTTGTTTTATTTTTTTATTTATTCATTTATTTTTGAACTTAAGATAAACTTGTGGATAGGCCACCCTTAACTAAATTTTCTAACTATAGATGTAACAGAAATGTCATGAAATACATACACATAAACTCACGCTCACACATACTTACAGACACGCACCATACTACAATTCATATCACAATACTGTTATACAGAACTGAAGAAACAGAATCAATGAAATGAAATGATCTGGAAACCAAACGTACGCTCACTTACACACTCAAATAAATAGACACATAAACAAATATGGCCACACACCATACACATATAGGGCGTGGCCACATGTCTCAGGAACAGCCGAGTGAATGGACATCTTACACATAGATATGTGCTCCTCCACATACACCACCGCTCTACCCTGGTTAACGCTCCTAGAATACAATATTTATATACATATATACACATATCCACACATACACATGCACACACGCACACACACAGACACACGCACACTCACACACACATAAACACGCACACTCACCCAAACACACACACGCACACTTACCCACACATACTCTCACGCAAGCACTCCCGCACACACACAAACACACACACACACACGCACTCACGCACCTATACCCACCCTCAAACACACACACACACATACATATTTCTTCGAACCTGATCGAATCTCCCAGATTGTTAACGACCCGGCAGACCCAAGGAAGCCCAACATAATTCATATTCCTAAAACACGCTGCCTGTATACACAGATACATACATTCCTATAAAAATTCATAATGATTTAAATATGAAGTATATTTACTACAATTACACATTAAAAATATCATTTATAGAAACATATGAAAACCGTATACACATGATAAGAAATTCTTGTTTTAGTAAATAATAAATGTAAATAAATGTTGTTCAAGAAAAGGTGACTATGATTCATACAAACAAAAACACACCCAACACACACCTGACACACACACTCACCCACGCACACACACATACATACAAAATATGATTGCCTTTTTGATATCAAAATTTTTTGACTTTGTTTTTAAATAAATGTTTTTGACATATACTTTTAATTTCTGTGTTAATAATTTCATCCCAAACTTTTGGACCAGAAATTTTTAAGCTATTATTTATTATTTTCAATCTAGAATAACTGGAATAAAAAGTTGATGCATTCCTTAATACTTTAGTTTGGACGAGCTTCTTAAGTTGAAGAAATGTTTAAAAAACAACGGGAGTTCACAGTGTACATATTTATACATAAAAAGAACTAAGGTATACAAGTGGATATTTTTAACATTCAAAATTTGTAAAATATTGCAATAATTAGAAATATGGCAGCGAGGATGAAGATTGAAAAAGAGACGAATGAAAAGGTTTTGGCTAACGGAAATATGTTGCAAGTGTAAATTTGGACTGTTTCTCCACAGCAAATTACAATACGTTAGGTTTGGGTAAATAAGGGTATACTATAATTCTAATAATACACTTTTTGTTATTTTATTTTTAATTTAATATAATATACCTATTGTTTTATTTATTTTTTTGGAGATAAAATTAATGTGCGAGTCCCAGGATAAGTTATCGTTGATGAAGATACCTAAAAAATTTTGTTGAGCTCGATCGATGTATAGGAATAACATTGATTTGTATATTTAAGTGTGTAATACAATTGGTTAGTATTCTTGGTCCAAATATCATATATGAGCACTTTGTATAGTTTATTATTAAATCATTAAAGGTAAACCAATTGGTGATGGATTGAATTTCATTGTTGATAAAATTTAAATCTTTGTTAGGTTCTTTAGTATGAAAGTATATAGTCGTGTCATCAGCAAATAATAAACATTTAGCTGATGTAGTTAAGTGGCATAAATCATTTATAAATAAGGTAAAAAGTATTGGTCCTAATATAGAGCCTTGTGGGACTCCGCAGTTAATCTGGAGCCTTTCTGATTCATAGGTTTCGATTGAGACATATTGTTTTCTTTCTCCAAGGTAAGAGAAAAACCATCTATATGCAACTTTTCTTATACCGAATGAATAGAGTTTTTATAAAAGTTTTTCATGGTTTATTAGATCAAATGCCTTTGATAGATCTATAAAAATTCCTAATGTGAAGATCTTTTCATTCAATTTTTCCATCACTCTCTGCGAAAATTCTACTATAGCAAGCTCCGTTGAGTGGTCTGCTCGAAATCAATACTGACTTTCATGAATAACATTTTTAAACTGTAAAAAAGATTTTAATATCTGGCACATCAATTGTTCTATAATTTTTGAAATAGGCGAGAAAAGAGAAACAGGGTGGTAGTTAGATATATCTAACCGATCTCCTTTTTTGTAAACTAGTATTAATTTAGTGGTCTTAAAGCATTGAGGAAAGTAGCCCTGTAAGAAAGAAAGTTTGCATATGTATGTTAAAGGCTTTATTATTTCATTTAACGTAAGTTTGATTAAGAAATCACTTAAGTTATCCTGAGAAATACTTGTTTTGTTTTTCATATTTTTAACTATATTTGAAATTTTTATTTCATCAACTGGTCTTAAAAATAAAACCGTATATAACACTATAAAAGTATTTATAATAAATAATTCTATATAACTATAAATAAACATATATAACCGTATATAACACTATATATATTCAATAACTCTTCATAACTATATTTAAATCTATATAACCGTATATAACACTATATGACTATCTATATTCAATAACTCTACATAACTGTATATAAATGTATATAACCGTATATATCACTATATAACTATATATAATCAATAACTCTACATAACTATATATAAATCTAGATAACCGTATATTAAACTATATGACTATATATAAACCTTATAACCGTATATTTGTATAAATATATGAATATGTATAAATATTCATAATCAATAACTCTACATAAGTATATAT